CTGTGCGACAGCTCTCTGCCGCCAGAGCGGCTCGGCGCGACCCCGCTCTGCCCGCGGCGCGTCCAGCGGCCGCAGCACCGCCACCGCCATCGCGCCGCGGGCACGGAGCCGGGGGCGGGCCGGGGCGGAGCCCGGCGGCCGCCCGCCCCGCCGAGGCCACAGAGCGGCGGCGCAGAGCGGCTCTGGAGGCTGAGAGCTGTGCAGCGCGCCCGAGCGGCTCCGCTCCTACACCTTCTCCGAGCCGCGTCCGTGGCAGCGACACTCCGTGACGCTGGCCCCGTCCTCCCCAGGCTCCCGCAGGTCTGCAGCCACAGGCTGCGGGAGGTGGGAGAAAGGGAGAATGGGGCCAAAGGGGCGGGCGAGGCTTTTGCTGCTCCGCCACTCCCCGCTCCCGCGAGTCTCACAGCAGCAGTGTGGAGTTGGAGAGAATTGGCACTCAGGGCAGAGCAGGGTGCCCTCGCCAGTGCGAGCCTCGTGAGACGTTGTGGGCTGAATACGTGCCTTTGGCTTAGAAGAATGCACTTGTATTGGTGCTAGTGCTGAACTAACCTTGGAAATCATAGAATCATAGAATATCCTGAGTTGGAAGGGACACATCAAGATCATCAAAGTCCTGTTTCTGCCCGTGCACAGGACAACCCCAGTAATTACAGAGAATGCCTGAGAGCATTGTCCAAACACTCCTTGAACTCTCTCAGGCTTAGTACTGGGACCACTCCTGTGAAGCCTGTTTCAGCACCCAACCACCCTCTGGGTGGAAAACCTTTTCCTAATATCCAACCTAAACCTCCCCTGACACAGATGCACAACCATTCCCTCGGGTCCTGTCACTGGTCACCACAGAGAAAAGATCGGTGCCTGCCGCTCTGCTTTCCCTTGTGAGGAAACTGCAGATTGCAATGAGGTTTCTCCTCAGTCTCCTCATCTTCAGGCTGAACAGACCAAGTGACCTCAGCCTTCCTCTTATGGCTTCCCCTCTAGAACCTTCACAATCTTCGTAGCCCTCCTTTGGGTGCTCTCTAATAGCTTTAATATCTTTCCTATATTGTGGTGACCAAAACTGCACACAGCCCAAAACTGCACACAGCCCTCGAGGTGAGGCCACACCAGTGCAGAGTAACACGAGACAATCACCTCCCTCGACCAGCTGGTGATGCTGTGCCTGATACACCCCAGGACACAGTTGGCCTATGCCTGGAGCAGTCTGGAGACAAAGTCAGAGCCTCTGATTAGTGCCTGTTCCCTCAGCCAGAATCCAGCTTGCTCTGGGTAAGATGCTGCTTGTTATACAAAGTGTCTGCTGGTGATACAAGATGTGAGTAAAGAAACGCAAACCCCGTAGGATTCTGTAACTGTGGATCCAGACACCCCTGTGTGTCGCCTCACAGCTAGACAGGGGTCTGTGGGAATAAGGGGAAGAAGTGAGTGTTCCAGTTGCCTCTAGGGCTGCAGCCAGCCTTTAGGCGTTCCTGGGCTGCTCGCCGTGTCCCACCGCCCCTCTCCACACGAGGGAGCGCTTACAAAACGTTCGCGCTCACTTTCTAACCTCCCTGAAAATCCAGGCAGCGATTTGAGAGGATCCGGAGAAACAAAATGCCAGTTAGAAATTAAGACTTCTAAGAAGTGTCACCATGAACATGCTTCCGCAAAGGCAGCCCTGCAGCCTTCTCTGTTCTGGGTCCATCAAGGGGACACCTCCTTGCAACCCCTAGACGTGCATGCCTGACAGTCAGCTTCCAAGCCAAGAGATGCCAAATAGTAGCATTTTATTTCTTTTCCCCTTTCCTCATCCCTTCTTCCATGATTGTTTTGGCAGATCCTGTAAGTCCCTGGCTAGTTTGTGCAGTGAAAAAATCTGCATGTGCCAGGGCAGGTGGCAGCCCAGATGAACTGAGGTGAGGCTGCGGCAGCTCTGGCTTCTGAACACTGGCTTTGAATTTATTGACTCCTTTTGCCTGAGCCACATGGGAAGGATCTCTCACCTGAACAAGCCCATCATTTGTGGCTGAGGGACCCCCAGGGCCCCTGACAGAGGGACACTCATGGCAGCCAGGCCCTGATGTGGTCACCAAGACTGCTCCTGGGTCTCATATAGGCAACCCCACTGCAGCAGTGGAGATGTGTGCAAGTGGCAGCTACTGCCTTAAATCAGGGTTTCTTCTGTTGCACTGTCAGGCCTGAACCAGCACTGGCAAGAGCCGTGGCTGGGTTTGGCTGCCAGTAACCCCAGCATGGGTCAAATCTGAAGCAACAACAAGAATATGCTGCCCTACTCCTGTTGCAGCTCCAACCACAGTGACATGGAGCACTTCCCTGCAAGGTTTAGCACAGGCAGCTAAGAGGCAAGTGACTACCTACTCCAAGGATTGTCCCCAGGATTGCCTTGCCACCAGGAACTGAACCTGGGCAGTCACTGTCATCCACCAGTGTGTGCACCCCCACAGTTACTTCCCAGCACATGAAAAAGTGCCTTGGGCCAGCAGCTGTTCCCTTGGCTCCCCCTTCACAGCATGTGGTGTAGTGAGAGCTGGGAGCCTACAAGGCACTACCAGGAGAGTTGTCCGCACCCTGCATAGGGCTGGAACTACAGTGTCTCCCCTTGTAGCAGTTGTTGTGGTGACATGCTTGCTCTCACAGCACTGCACTGGACCCAGCACAAGGCAAAGAGCCAGGCCATCTGCACGCAGGCAGAGAAAAAAAAAAAAAAAGATTGCAAGCATCCAGTGCCAGCATGGCACAGCCCAAATAAAAGGGTTGCAGATGCTGCTCAGGCAGGATTAGGCCTCCAATGTGTTAAGTCTCGGCTCTCGGTGAGCCTAATTGCTGCTGCAATAAGCCCTGGCTGGTCCTTTCCTGAACCGTGCTCCCCACAGCCCCCCCAGCAAACATTTTTTTTGCTGTGAAGCAAAAGCTTGTGTTTGCCATGCATATGTTACCCCGGTAAGGTCTGGCCAAGCAGTGGAGGTGAAAGGTGGGAAATCTGCACATGCCACTTACTGCTCTGCTCTTCCCAGCAATTGTCCCTCCGCTCTCCCCCTGTGCAGCACAGCTTGTGTGTAGGGAGCCAGGCCCAGCAGCAGAGGCAGGAACAGGTGACAGCATCATTACGTGGCCACGCACCCCGAGCTGTATTAGGAAACTTTCCAAATTGGAATTACTCAGATTTTAATAAAACCTTTTGATAATTTTCCGTTATGTTTTGGCTGGCAGATGAAACTGGAGGTGTTCCAGGAGAGCTGTCACGGCATGTGCACGGGCCAGTTCAGTAACTGCCACAAGATGTGCCAAAGGAAGGTATAAATTGCAATGCAGAGAATGAAAACCAAAGATACACCACAATTTTATTTATGGATGTGTAATAAATAAATGGTGGACAATACAGGAAGAGCCACATTCAAAAATCCAGATCACTAAAGTGCTTTTAGACACAAATATGGGGCGACCAAGAAACAGCTCTGACATTAACATTTTTTACAGACAATTACAAAATATCTTCTTCTGACAATTCACAAAATTGTTTAATTGCTCTGGGGTACTATGGCTTGCTTTTCAAAAAGGTCTGTTCTATTATGCATAGTGTTGCAGGTAACATTCAAGAGTGTACAAAATCATTGCATAAACAAAAATGTCTTTACCCCCTTCTCCCAAATATGAGTTAAGGAAGCTACACAGTGTAAATCCAGTGATAAGGCTGCATTGGCAGGCCAGATCCTCAGAAAGTGTAAACCTGAGTGTTTATACATCCTCAGGTTACACCAGCTTGAGGATGAACCCTACAGTGTTTAAAAACCCTGCTTATCCTCGAGGTGGAAGAATTGCGTGTTCAGCGTGGAAGGACTGGCACGTGGGCGCTGTGCTTGGAGAAGACGTCTGTAAACTCCTGCACCATCTTTGCACCTGCGTGTTGGGAGGGAGCGACTCCCATTGCGTTGCTCCTCTTTGTGCTCCTGGCTAGCCGGGGAAGTGGTCACAGCCCAGAAGGAAAGAGTGGCTCTTCTCCAGCAGCAGTCCGTGCTGACCATAATGCAGTCCCATTTTCGCACTGCTCTTGGCCCTGCTGGGACACTTCTCCCACCCTCCACCCTGGCTCTGCTGAGAAGTGAACAGCTTGAAAGTGAGGGGACAAGGGGATGTGTGTGCTCAGTTTTAAAATGCCCTGAATTCAGATAGAAGTTCCATTATTTAAGAAAAAATATATATATCAATAAATGAATAAATATTATTATCTTGCCAGGACTCTGTGAGGTCTGGCCTCCTCCAGGGCAGCCCAAGCTCAGTGGTCCCTGTCGTTCTGCTCTGGGGGGGGTGTCCCGTTGATGCACTGCCTCAGTACACCCCTCTTCTCGTGCTTGGCTGTCCTGGAGAGGTCGATGGCTGTGTCCTCTGAGTCTTTTGCAGGGCCAAGCTTGTCGGAGCCCCTCTGGGAACTGGCCTGCTTCTCTTTGAGTTCCTCCTCCTCCTGCTCCGTTCGCCAGCCATCTGCCAGCTTCTCTTGGCTCTCTGCCTTCCTGCTTACCTCCATGGATTTTTTGTGCATGCCTTGCAGAGGGGAGAGAGCAAAGGCAAGGGTGCTGGTTGCTTATTTCTGCCTGGGACT